CAGGCTTCATCTGAGACACAATGCACAGGTCAAGTTGAAAAATGGTCAAACACAACACAAGTAACGTGAGAGACCGCATGGCTTTAGGTCTGAGTAGGCTTTACATCTCATCTGAAGGACGCCTTTTACAGTATAGTGTCCCCTATCAATATACCAGGGCATTAGGACCCACACAGACGGCAGGGTGAGCGCCCCCTACTGGTCCCATTTAATAGACACTAAATATCACAGTGATAATAGCACATAACCAAAACCAAAGATGCACAAATCAGCGAGGTGGGATACACTCCATTACAGTCACAGATGGCTTTAAACTTGAATCTTTGTGCTGGGTACTACCCATGCATCAAGTCAGAAAACAAACAAGACTAGAGAAACCGCTCTCTGTCACCCCCAAATCCTGTCAGAGGACAATGTGATGCTCTCTCAGCATGGGGTGCAAGTCTTTTCACTGCGCACTGGTGTTGGGGCAACCCTCTGCAGGCCCAGGGAGTCAAGGGTGATCAGAGCTGATCGAATTTGGTAATGAAGAAGTCTTTAAGCTTTTTTGTCCTTCCTTTTAAGAAGCTTCACATGCTTGATCCCTTAAACCCCCCCTCCCCTCTCACGCGCTTCAGCACATTGTGCCGGTATTGATCTCCACTTCAGAGGCTCTTTAATACCTGGGGTGGCGAGCTGGGTCTCTGCAAATGCATCCTGACAAGTGATGAGATGAGCTCAATGGACAAATGGTGCTTGATGAGGGGAATAATGGGGTTTGTTTCACGAAACATCTGTTAAAAGAGAAAAGATGAGAGTCGTTGGGTTTGCCACCTAACAGAAGGGGCTCTGCAGAGGTGCCCCTAGACGGACCTGCTGAACCCTGTGGCAGCCCCTGGTGGCGAAGACCTCCACTCGGACAGACATGCTGACCAGCAAACGCAAAACTACGGACTCTAAAATATGCACCGCTACATACACACCATCAAGACCCTATTATGTGTTTATTAAGGCACCCCGACAGTACCGTGTTCCCATTTTATTGCAGGCCTCTCCTTCAAAGAGCTCGGCCAGGGCATACTCACTACAGTGGGGCTCAACCCAGGCGATCTCCACCTGCCCTGTCTGAGATGCCTGTTTAGACACCTGACTCAAATAGGAAAACCTCTCTGATGGGTAAGACAGCGCGAGTGAGATATTCATTAAGGGGCCAATCCCAACACTTCTGCATGGCCAAGAAATCACCGCAACATAAAGCGACAGAGAAACATTGTTTTACACCTTATATCACATATCAGGTAATATATTTTTAACAGGAAGACAGTCAAATGAATCGGCCTCTCGGCTATTTTCAAATACTTATCATGCCCAACTCTCAACACTATGAAGGACTATATCCACACTCTGATGGCATTCTATATATCTGTTTAATCTACTTTTGCATCTTGTTCCAGCAGTAGGGAACAAGCTCTTTGTAAGAGCGGATGAAATTACAAATGCCATTGCGTACTTCATAAAAGCACTCCCCTTACTCAGACTGCCCTGCTTGTTGAAAAAACAAGGTTCCTGGCTGTGCTACCGCTTCGCAGCTGTGAACGGAGGAGTAGTTAGAAATGAGGAGAGGCCTGACGCAGGATCTCATCCAGCTGTGACTTGAAAGAAGTCAGGGCACCGGCTTCAACAGGGCTCAAATGGCTGGGCAGCTCGTTCCAGACTCTGGGTAAAGAAGAGCCTCCTGATCTTGGCCTTAAAGGCACTTCCACATAGTTTCCCCACTCGAGTCCTCTGGCTGGTTCTGATGGTTTGAGGATCAGGCCCCCTCACAGTCAGTCTGCCCCACTCAGGAATGAAAAGGTTCAGGTCCTTCAGCCTGTCAGTGCAGGACCTGCTCTTGAGCCCTGTTATGTCACCAGCTTTGCTTCCCTGAACCCATTAGAGAGCAGCATTATCCTTTCCAGAACGGGTTAACCAGACTTGCACACAATATTCAAAATAAAATCGTAAAGGGACATTATACAGTTGCAACACAACGTCTCGATTTAAATTCTGCACTTTTAACATGAACCCCATGAAACTCCCTTGGCTGTGCCCTTCAGACCAGTAGCAGTCATTGGTGTTTGGATATACTAAATGGCAGATTAAATACAAAACCGAAAACATTGTAGAGAAACAAAGTAAGTGTCAGTCAGGTTGACTTTTTTTTCCTTTAATAGAAAAAAACAATACAAAAACGTAACATTTCAGAATATATACAACTTACAGATATTACTGAACTTTACACAATGTTGTATAAGGTTACTCAGTTTCTTAACTTTATTAGCATAGTTATTGTATCTCGACACAACATCAAGTGAAATACCTAACTAGCAGGTGGAATATACACGTATTGAGTGACTACCCCCTACAGCATTTGTAACAAGTTCCATGCAACCGAAAAGACACTGTCAAAGTATTTTAGCAAGTGGGACTACTTATTACATCCGTGGCTTCAGTGGTCGAACTCCAATTTGGTGCAGGGCTTTTTCTAAAAATCACAAACCGTTCAAATCACCCTTGTGTCGTGAAATTAAAGAACCAATGTAACTGCAGCAAGTCTTTAGCATATACGCAATGCTAAATGGCACAATGCACAATGGCAGTTAAGGATTAGTCTTTAAGTGAAAATAAAAATATGCTGCATAAAAGACTTCACTAATTAATCAGGGCTCATTTCCTTAATTGCTTAGTTTCAGAAGTTGTTCTGGGTTTGTGTGCTGCTCTGTACACTGTAGAAGTAGTTTATCTTTAGAATAGGGCAATAAGGAAGTTGAAGGAGATTCTGCAGGTCAAACATTGATGGGATACAAATAAAAAAAAAAACTAGCCAAGTAAATAACTGTACTGTGGTGTCCATCTTTTTATGAGTTATAACATATCCTTGAGTGTGCTGCCAATTAGAGCACCTAGTAAAAAAACAACACGTCTAGAATAGACAGAAGTGTAAACACTGCATATTAAGCGATATGAGTAAAGCCCAGAAGCCAATCAAGACTAGTGAGAGGCATGGCTTTCAGGACAGGTCAAGGAAAACTTACTATTTGACCCAAAGGTCACAAGAGGGAGATACACAAAGCCTGAAGTAAAGTATAATCAAAGCACAACACTACACACATCAAACTGAAAAGATATTTGATTCAACAGTGGCAAAGAAACACACGTGAGCGGTTTTTTTTTTAAAACACAAATTGTAACTACATATTAAAGGAATCTGGGAGTTTATATTCCTCCTGTTTTTGTCTGATTGGGGATGTTCCTCAGCTCTGTCTGAAGCTTCTGTCCCTACAGGAGTTAAACACACACACACACATGCATGGCTCCATGTAAAAGCCATGCTCTTGTGTCGGTTGCCTCATGCTGATTTAAGCACATCTCCAATATTACTGCTGTTTAGACTAGTGACTGCCAGGTATAAGACTGATACACATGAACACTTGTCATCCACATTGCCGTTTTGAGGTATCAACCCAGGGGCACAACACGGACACGTCCTTTGCTCTTTGATGCCAGTATCAGTCAGCCTGTCCCAGGGTAGGTTTGAGGTGGAAAGATTTAATATGAACCAGGGAGGGAATTCCTGACTACACGGCCCCCACACCTGGGCACCACTGTCTGTGAATTTCCATTAGTACTAGCTGTGACCACGAAAATAATAACTTAAAACTGTTGTTACAGAAAGCAGATGATACAGTGGATTGCAATGCTGCTTCGCAGTGCTGGGGCCCTGTGTTCAATTTCTGGACCGGAGGTGCTGTGTGGAGTTTGCATGTTCTCCCCATGTTCATGTGGGTTTCCTCCAGGTGCTCTGGTCCCCCCCCCACAGTCCAAAGACATGCTGGTAGATCAATTGGCATCTGGGAAAACTGGTCCTGGTGTGACTGTGTGCTCGTTTGTGTCTGTGTGTGCCCTGCAGTGCACTGGTGTCTGGTGCTGTTGCATGCCAGGATAGACTCCAGCTCCCCCATGACCTTGAACTGGAAGAAGCAGTTAGATAATGGATGGGTTACAGAAAACAGATGACTAAGTATTAAGGAAAGGTGCTGTATATACACACTTCAATTTCAATGCCCACAGCACCATAAATAAAAAGAATGAGTCACTTGTGGCTGTGCAGCTATCAAACTGCACTGTGGACCAGTGAAAAGAAACTGATTGAGAGAACAAAGCTCGTTGATTTACTGATGTTACTGATGTTTGTTGTTTATGATGTAAACATTTGGAGACATTTTTAATCTAACCGTTTCATCACAAACTTGACTATGAAATAATGTACAACACGACACATCCTGTTGAAATAGGACTTGTTAAACAAATGTTGATTCAGATGGGGGCATTAACAAACTGTTTTATGATATTCTTTGGTTACAAATTACCAATTACCAATTTATTCTGTAAATTACAAAATGTAATTATAAATTGGAGAAAAAGAAATCCTGCATGTATTGCTAGAAGAGTCTCTATTTCAGCCTCAAATACTAGCTCACAAATATTATACTAATAAAATAACCTTTCGGGAATTCACTTGCACAAGTACTAATTAAACACATGAGGCTGTGGGAGTGTATGAATGCCAGACTGTGGTAAACTGATACACCTGACTGAGCAACACTGACAACTCTACTGCTGAAACTGGTAGAATGCATCATCAGATTAAAGACCATTTATTTGTTTTGGGGGGAAAGAGGATTTAAACTTCCGTGCCTCTGAACATTTAAACATTTATTTTCCCTGTTCATAAGGGAAAGACAAGGTTTTAAGAAGCATGGAAACCCATCTAATTCATATTAATCTTCCTGGTTGTACTACGGTAAAATCTCTATACATGTTTTGTGCTCCAGCCTTCAGAGGAATGGAATTAAAAAAAAAACGATCAACCTACTCAATCTAAAGTGAGTTTTAGAACATCTTCCCTCTGATTTGAAGCTTTTCCAGAATTCCAGTTTTAAAAATGAAAATAGAACGGTTTTTGAAATAAGCATCCAAGCTCTCCCATATTTGGTTTATTAACGTAGGCTTTACAGCACAGTTCACTTAGTGCCTCCATTCTTCATACATTCAGCACATTAATAAAGATAGAAATTTCACAAAACAGCCAGGATCTCCTGCTGAGTGAAGGCTTTACAGGAAAAAGGTTCATTTAAATCAGATCTTTTCATAAACAAAAAGCACAGGTCAATTATTTAACGTCCAGTGAAAAACTATCAAGTCTGGAGACTTTTAAAACGGGTGTAACAAGAGAGCACTTCAGAGGGTGAGGCGTGTCCGGTGAGGAGCCCCAGCCCCAGTCCTGGCAGCTCCGCACAAGCCGTCTTATTTCCTCAGAGGACCGGTTTTCCTTAATTGACGGGACACCTGATGCAGAATTTGGAGATCTCAAGGTGAACTTATTAAAAGCACCAGTTAAATTCCAACCTCCAACGCGTTAAACTGAAAACGGTTCATGTGAACCCTATCCCTGAGATCAACTAAGGACTCAATCACATAGCAGAGCTCTGCTGGGACGATCCCCAGAGCAAGCACTGGCAACCCCTCTTGCTATTCACCGTGTTTAGAGCATGATGCTGAACTAGCTCTGCATGCTAGGCTGGATCTGTGGTGTGTTATGGCATAATCATTTTACTTGAATTGCTACAACGTTTTTCCATTCAAGGCACCAAACTCCAAAAACAACTTTTTACTGCAAGGTTTCTTTTTTGCAAACTTATACACTTTGCCCAGTTAGGGATACTTCCAACGGTCTTCCCAGAATTCCCCTGCCCTGGCTGACTAGGCTACCAGAAGCACTTGCATTGTCTATTTTGAATGTGGGGAAAAAGCACAACGTGACCTACGTACTGTACACATACAAGGTTAGAAATGCGAGCAGCTGGGAACCGCGGGAGAAAAATAAAGTTAATAGTGCTGATCATGATCAGAATTAAAGAAAACTCTGTCTCTAACCCAGTCGTTCAGGATGCCAGCCCCAAGCCGGCCGTTAAACTTGGCTGCTCCATCCAGCTGGGGACGCTGCCCCATGGACGCGCAGTTCCTGCTGCCTCGCTCCGTCCCTGTGGGAGGGGGGGCCCTCTCCTTCCCGGCTGGTCTCTCGAGTGCCCCTCCAGCAGCAGCTGGAAGGTCTCCCGCCCCCTCATGTCCGCGCCCGAGCACGCGCTTCGCCGCTACGCAGGCCCCGGCCCGGGTCATCTCTTCACCTTGGCGTCCTCCCTGATCTTCCAGATCATCAGCTCCATGCAGGCGCTGGCGTCCTCACTGGAGTCGTGTCCTTCCACTGCTCGGCGACAAGCGGTTCCGCGCGTCAGGCGCTGGGGCCAGGAGCAGAGCGCGCAAGCGCACCCTTGTCAAACCCCCACTCGGCTGTCCGCACATCTTTCAGACTTAGGGCCAGATTTCTTTGGAACGCCAACATTAACTACTGTATCTTTGAAAACCCATTTTTGGGTTGCCAAAGTGGTCTTTCAGACATTTACTCCCCACTAGTCTTTTGCTGTTGTGCGAATAATCTTTGCAGGCCGAGACCTTCTCTTGTTTACAATGTCAAGGGCTGCTCTTGGCATTTTATCGGTTCTGTACTCTCACTGCCTTGTCTTCTGTGCCACAGTGGTGACAGGCTCTAGAACAAGTCATCACTGCACAGAGGAATTTGTTTTTAAAAAGTAAATGACACTTAAGTCTGTTCATCAATGCAACTTGTGCCACTTTCTGATCAATAAAATTCTAGGACAGTAGTAATCCACTGTTACATTTTAAAAATACCACTTTGATTTGATTCTGGAAAGCTAGTCTTCTCCACAGACAACACATTCAGGGACCAATTTTCCTGCTTGGGGAAACGACCCTTTCTTGTATTTTGGGGTATCCAGTATGGGGAATATAAGGACGGACCTCTAACATTCCTGACCAATAATAACCAGATGTCAATGCAACCATTCTCTTGTTAAACAAACAGCAACTATATTAATTGTTCCTGTTCTCCTAAGAACAATTTTTTTCTAGAATGCTCAGCATATTCGTAATCCAGTAATCATAAGCAGTGTGTTTTCAAAACACAGACCCCACACACGGCTATAAAACAGCTGGAAGACATCGTGCATTGTAACTGGACAGACGCTGCGGTCAGGAAGAGCCTGCACTCTGAGAATTAGCCCACAATCAATAGGTCTTCTGAAAAAAATTGTACTAACAAATAATGCATCTCTCATAAAATCTACATTGCACTGAATTTTAATGACATTTGGACAAGTAAATTAAATCTCCCAGAGAAAATACGGACTTTTGTTTTTCCATTAGTGTTGAAGTATATCATAAGGCAGAAAAGTCTAAAACATAGCCTGTATTTCATTCCGCCCTTCTCCCTGGGACAGTACTAAGACCGAACCACACCTCAAATCCTTGTCTTTTATTCCGTGAGGAATCCTCGGACGGGCTTACCGTTGTCCTGGATGATGCGCTTGAGGTGGTCAGCCATGAGGCTGCGCAGCGCGCGCTTGTATGGCAGACCCAGGCGGTGAGGGAAGACTATGGCCGTGTCGATGACGGTGCTGTGGAGCAACTGGGGAAACGAAAAACACACGAGGGCATCAGTGTGCAAGATAAGATAAGATCACAAGCGGCTCGCTGGGATCCCGTCGCCCATATAAACATCAGAGCCGGAAACGTCTGAGGCTTCTGAGGGAGTCGCACTGAAGCTGGATGGTGCAGCAGCACTCTAAGGATGCAGGGGGCAGCCTGACGTACACTTTAAGAATTTCTACCAGGAGCAGTCCTTATGAACTCGAAATAAATAACCTTGGGAAATTGCCTATGAGTAATATATGATGAGCTCTGGGCATTTTTTTACTTTATCAAGTTGGCACCATTTAGGATAGATGCAAAATAACTCGGCTCCTGCAGATCATCTGAAGGAAGCTGGGCACAAGTGAACAAAACTCAGAATGAACGAGCATCCCTCGTGAGGCCCGAATGATGTGCCGCATGCTGCCGCGAGACTCCTCAGCTCACCTGCGCTGTTCCCAACGGGGCTAACGATCCCAAGTCGCTGCGGCCCAGGCTGTCATCCGCTTACCTTCAGTGCAAACAGATCGCTCTCCAGGCTGTGCCCAATGAGGATGGAGTCTGCGCTGAACATGCTGAGCAGCACCGCCTGCACGTCCCGAATGGTGGTGGTGGTGTTCTCCAGGTCTTCTTCTGTCACCCCCGAAAACCTGCAGGCAGAACACAAAGACGTGATGGAGTTTTGCAAACGGCACTTTAATTCATGCATGGATGGTGTCCTGGACTTATTTACAACCCCCGCTGCGAGTATTTTAAACCAGAATTACTGATCGTATGATTTGGCGATATTATTAATTCCCAGTACTTGTTATTGCAGTCCGTGTTCGTTTTTTCAAAACAATAATGACAGAAAACTCTAAAAAAAAACAATGACGTTTTCAGTTAATATTTGCATGCATGCAAAATTCTTGTTTATATGCACTGCAGCTAATTTGGCTATCTTTCTAATTAGAAACAAACAGCTATTATTTTGTTTCCAGCTTGGGTCAGTGCAAGCTGGAACACCTTAATAAACAATGACTCCCACCAGCTGGTGACTGGTAATGAGAACGCGGATAATCAGCAATGACTTTCCACTGCCGAGAATGTGGCACCTTTCAAGGAAAGCTTTACCGTGTGTTGTAGTCCACAACTTTGCTGTCAGGCTTGACGAAGGTGTCATAGACGACCTTCAGCTCCGAGTCTATGACTGTCACCCTGGTCAGCTCCAGACCCTGCTTCGTATAGCACTGGAACAAGAGGGAAGGAGAAGCTGAGGGCAGATCCAAACCCACTGACTGCTGGGAAGGTGAGGTTCCCACTTGGATGATCTCTGCCTGGCTACCCCACCCATCAGTTACAAAAACCCCACATGAACACAGCATGTCTCCCCAACAACAAGAACAGCATTTCATTCACTCTTTCAGGAGCATGATTCACCTCTTTAAGTAATTGTCTGAACAAATATTAGCTGTTTTTTTTAAGAGAAGAGATTCAAATTTGAGTGAATCAGCCCTGATTTCTTTCAAATCAAACTTCACTGCAATTATGAGGATGGAATCTATATAGTGATCAGATGATAAGCATTAACCTTCTAACCATCTGAACATTATTTTTCATCAAAGATTCTTTAAATAGACGTATATTTTAGGAACCAGCAGAACACCCAAGAGTCATTCATATCAAAATAGTTAATCCTTTCCATGTGAGTAACACGTTTTATCATGAGATATATTCTATGCATAAAAGCATGGTCCTGAAAATTAAGAAAAACTCCAAGCAAAGACCAACGTTACCCATCCACCTCAAGACCTATCCTACCCCTTCACGTACAGTGCAACTGCAAACAAGGGAGGTGCAGGATACAGGCTAGACTCTTCGAATCGACCCCCGAGCGCAGCAGATCAGACACAGGGCGGCTCCCTCACCATCTCGCAGTCCAGAGCGTACATCCCTGGATAGCCATCAGGGGGCATCGGCTTGCTGAAGGTCTTCACGAACCCTTCCAGGTTCTCCTTCCGCCCATCCTGCACGTGTTGCTGCAAGAGAGTACTGGGGGCTACAAATCCCTTTCACACTATTTCAGGTGTGTGTGTGGGGGAGGCTGTCAATAGATTTCATGTGTGCTTTACCCAACTCCTGCTGGTGGCTCAAACCAGCACTTGGAAACTGTGAAACAGTAAGAGGTTCTTAACTGCTGCACGACACTGCTCCCATGTGGTTTTATATGGAACTTACACATGAAAGCCAAATTGAAGTCTATATTTTTTTTTTATAAGATCAGTTTATTAACCATATAAAACTTCTTGCATTAGGATTTCGTCTTTTTGCATACCCCAACTTGCTCTCCATGAGACAGACACACAGACAGGGAGAGAAGCTTGGGGTCAGAGCGCAGGGTCAACCATTGTACAGAGGCAACGATAAGTCATACAATATTGCACTAAATAAACACTTCACAGAGCAGATTCATTTAGTAAAACCTGATCTTAAGCACTAATAGGATCAAGAGCACCATGTTTCTGGCCCGATCCCTTCCTGGCATTGGAAACCCCTACAACAGGGCAAACAGCTCTAGGCTGGAAGATAACAACTGAAGCATTTAACAACTGAAGGCTAAGTGCTTCATTAAAGCATTGTTGCAGAATAGCATGAAACACAGCCCCGTCGGAGAAAGAGCACACACACCGTCCCTACCTTGGCAACCTGGCAGCCTGGAGAGCCTACAGACCCCGAGCAGCAGCTGTACTGTGTCTCCCACCCGCCAGGCACTGGAACACAATCCGCATCAGACGTTCGGCTCAAAACCAGCAACATCTAATCTGAAGCAGGACCTCCGGGGGACCAGCCGGTTACACGTTTGGGCCGTCTCCAGGACCGCTGCTTGCACAACACTTTCTCATTAAGCACATACGCATCTCTACGGCTTTGTAACTGCCCATTCTGCTTCATAAATGAATTTAGGAGAAAATCTTCAGCACTCTGTGCCAAGATGAAGCAGTTGTTCGATTAACATGCAAGCACTGGCAATGTCACATAAGCATGTCTTAAACACAGGGGATTGTACTGTAGGGTCTCGGCATCTGTGAATACAACGTTTGTGAATTCGCCGATTAGCAATTCGGTCTGGCTGAAAGGGCAGGGGTAACCCGTTTTAAATTAGCCGTGTAACAGACCAGGAGGATTGAGGAGTGAGACAGATCTAGCTAGTGACCGAGCCTCTCCCTGCCCCCTGCCCAAGTACCCACTGACCTAGTCTTCGCTCCTCAGCGTGGTCTTGTTTTAGTATTGTATCGAATGCTTCAGGTTCTGTGTCAGCAGTGTGGGGAATGACAGGTTGCCTGATGGTTTTATTGGCCGTTTCATTACAGTGAGGTCTCCTGCTCATGGAGCAGAAAATAGCAGGTAAGGCATCTGCTGGATGCAGAGGAGGGATTCATGTTGTTTTAACTCATTACTAAGTTTGTGATTACTTCTGTTTGAGTTGATCTATGTTTTTATTAATGTAAGGCCAATGCATTAGTACTCTATTACAGAATGGAGAATTTCTTGTCATTTAACCATGCATACTCTATACTGCAGCACATTATGTGGTCGTATAAGGGAGGGCTTGCTTGAATGAGAATTTGGCTATTCATCACCGTTTCCTGCCATGTTGCAAATGTCGAGACCCAACTGTACTTGACGCTGGGACTGACAGTAGTTAAAACTTGCATCTCTCCTCCCTCACCCTGGCGAAGCTGTCCCTCCACACTGTGACCCACCTCTCTGCCGGCGCAGTCTGCCCCAGTGGTGGTGGCACTCCTCCCTGCGGACGCAGCTCCCTGACAGAGTGACCATGTACTCCGTCCCACAGCGGCAGCACACCTTGGTAAAGGCTGGAAAACAAGGTGCATGGATAACGCAAGGTCATGCCACTTCTTTAAACCAAGGGCTGCAGGAGCTGGGAATAAACTACCCTGCTATGTTATCCCGTCTGGATTAATTAACTCACGAGTCACAGCAGCCTCCTACTTTTCCAATTTGTTTTGATCTTATCTCTGAATGGTCACTTTTCACATTAACAAGCACCACCTGATAGACTGAATGTCATCCTCTTTTCTTTATTGCAGCTCTTACTTTGCTCTCTTAACGCTGCAAGAAACCACAAAACCTGCTTATGGATCAGTGCCACATTATGGAGAATCCATCCATTTTCCCACTGCATCCCCCCCCAGTCAGGGTTGCAGGGGAGCTGGAGCGTACCCTGGCAGGCAACAAGTGCAAGGCAGGCTACACCCTGGACAGGACGCCAGACATGTGCTCTCCAGACAGAGGAGCACAGACACACAAAAGGAGCATAAAGATCTTACGGTCCGCAGTCTTCTTTTCGGCCACACCGCAGACCACTGCCCGGCCAGGCTTGTCCGGGTGCGAGCAGGGGTAGCCGTGCTCCTGCAGCTGCTCCTGCGTCATGAGGTACTCCTTCATCTTCCTGTACAGCACTGAACCTGCGCAACAGACGACGAGCTGAGCTCAGCTCACACGGCTCACGCACACCCTCGTGAGCACAGCGCAGAGGTGCAAGAAGCCACAGAAGGTTTGGAAGGAGTTTTGATCAGCGACGAGAAGGGCCATTCCAGGAGAACGCCAAAGAAGGCACAAACAAGGCGTCTCCCCCATGGTGCTCCAAATCCAAGCGGTTGTACAAGATGTTTTATAGACCGAATACAGCTCTGGTCACCTCTGTTATTACAATCAACAGGTGTTTAGAAGTGATCATTGCATATGCATTAGAACTATACAAAATACTTCCACACAGGGCACAATGGCTGTTCCTGATTACCTTGTTTCTGAAATGTCACATAACACAGCCGTCTGTCTACAATGCACTCAGGTCAGGTTTCGACAACAACCTGCTTTCAGCTGCGACCCGGTTGAAGAGCATTGATTTTTATTGGCAAGTCCTCAGTTTTTTGCTGTAATTCACAACAAAAAATTCCACTGATCTCATAAAAAGAGCAAATGTATTTGGGATAAATCTTCTCAGTATTTTCACTCTACAATATAAGCTATAAGCTCTAACCCTCTGAAAATTGAGTCTTGCAAAGAATTTTAGCTTTTAAATGAGAGAATCTCACCTGTCAGCTCTTCCTCTGGCTGTTTTCCTGATCTCTTGATGGTGTAACTGGTCTTTGCTGCCAGTCTGCCACCCAGCATCTCCTCATGGGAAAGACTCTTCTTGTTGCTTCCTCCACTGGGACTCTCTGAATGGCGAAGAACAGAGCAGATCAGACCCTTTCCAACAGCCAGTTCCACTGCAGAGTGGTGTGCTGAAGCCACGGACTCCCACAGTTTCTCAGCTTTTAATACCGAAACGTCAATACCACCGTGCTCCGCATGTGGAGCGTCAGTTGGACTTCACGACGAACCTTCGTTAAGGTTCCTGCAGAAAGGAATAACAAAACCTATTGTGTCCCAGAAACACTGACAAGTGGGGACTGTGTGGGCCAGGAGTGGATTCCCAGCCGTCTGCTGCGGGTGCTTGCCCTCAATCCTGACAGCCGACAGCCACACAAGAGGGCTGTATATAATGGGGGACAGGATGAAGGCACCAGTGTGAACCGGGGGCAGAGGCAATGATGAAGACAGAAATCAAATAGCAGTAAAACTTTGTACGTTTTCAACTGAGTTCCAATTAACCTTCTAGGATGTCTTTAGACTGTGGGAGGAAACCCACACTAACAAGGGTAAATACAAACTTTGCACAGGTAGCACCCCAGATCCAGAACTGAACCCAGAGCCCCAGCGTTGCGAAGCAGCTATGTTAACCACTGTGAACTACTTTCACAAAAAGCTGAAAAACAACTGCGAAGAAATCCAAATGCAGCGTACTGGTTGTAGGCGATATCGGGGTATTGCTTTGACTCCTGAGTTTTTTCAGCGTGTTGACGGCCACGTTCAAGTAGATATTGCGACTGCTGCTCCTGTCATACACCACCTTCTCCTCCACCAGAGCCTGCGCACAGCGAGGGAGAAAGGAAGAGGTTTAATGAAGGTTTAATAAACTTCTCCAGACGGTTCGCTTCCAAAATGTGCTGAACTGCCTGCAAGAACTTTCACCAGCCTTTTCGAAAGCCTCCTCCTCTGTGGAGCAGAACTTGATGCACTCGTCTATGAAGATGTTGAGGTATCTCTGGCGGACGTTGGTGGGGACTTTGGCTCCAAACTCCGTCGGAATGACTGGCCTCTTCAAGGTGGAGCTCTGAAACACAACAGGAAACTTCAGCAACAATCCTGCCTTCAACTAGCAATCCCAGAAAATGAAAGATTTCGTAGATCTCATTTTACAAAAAGCACACGGTTGCTTTTAACAAGATCAGGCACTAAAACCAGAAGTAAAGCTAATAACATGGCCCAGAAAAAGAATACAAGAAAGGTTACCAGCAGGTGGGGGTCCTTCAGCCCATCTAGCCTGCTTGGCAATGAGTAGCTAACTGATCATAGGATCTCATCCAGCCGTTTCCCAAAGGAAGCCAAGGCAGTAATTTCCAAAGATGTGAATCATACAAATCAACTGGGACCCATGAGAACTACAGTGTGGTGGCTTTTCATTTCAGATGAACTCTTGAAACTCTGGCAGCCTCGTATCCTAACTGAACAAATCAACTGCAACTGGGGTCAACAATAAATTGTTTTTAGTGTGCCATCAACTCATACTTTATAAAGTATAAAGAACTAACCTACAGCCTATAGCCATTGCCGGACTGTGGCTCTCAAGGAGAGAATGTGCTTCAGCAAAAAGGCCGGGCGGTTACCTTCAAGCTGGGGGTGTGCGCCATCCGCCTCTGCGCCGTGGTGGAGCAGGTCTTGGAAAGGATGGCGGCGGAGGTGTGCGCCTTCACCGGCAGGGAGCTCGGGCCCGACCTGCTGGGGGAGGCCGCGTTACTGCCAGTCTTCTTGCCTTCCACAGGACCTGAACAGGGAGGCCAGAAACGAACAGAAAAGAGATGCCATGATGACCTCTAAAGAGAGCTCGCCAATTCAAAACTTTTAGCACTACAACCTGGAACGCCCAGAAATACCCAAACTGCACGTTTGGGTTTGCATCCTGTGGACCAGGGCTGTACAACATGCAGGCAGAGCAGGTAACAAAGTCAGAGGACTCTCCCACAACTCATTTACTTGTTTTACTAATTTACCCATGTTTCTTGCTATCACAGAGGGAACAGCTCCACAGGCACATTTAAGCAGCAGAACTACAAAAAGAAGTTATAACACCATCCACCCCTACTTCAGATACAAGAATCAGTTTAGCTTGAGCCCTTAAGTATGATTCAAGACTGTGTAGTGCAAACATCCGTTTTGCAAAAGAACTGATTAGGACCTCGGTTTACGCAGATTTATTTTAAATGGATGCTAGTCCCTCTGGCATCAGCTTAGGAGACTTCTGGCCCACAGTAATGAGTCAGGGCACACTGTCCAGTGATTCCTGAGTCATTCCCAAGGTAACCAGTCAGAACAGGAAACTCTACACTACACAGGGACAACCACAGCAGGAAATCGGGCTGCAGAAAGAGTGTGGGGGGGGGCTGTCTCTGGCGATTTGTGAACACACCCAGCTTGGCTGCCAGGGTAGAGGGGCTAGGCCGGTGAGCGACTCTCTTCTTCTCCCCCGGGTACCCGGGCATGGCCCCGGCCGTTTTGACAGCTGCCGCCAGCTGTGCTGCCTGCTGCTGTGCAATCTGCATGCGCTGGTAGCAGATCTCCTGGGCTGTGGGCCTCCTGTATGGTCTAATCACTGGTCTGGGGGTCACCTCAGCCTGAAAGACAGGAATCGGCATGCGCTGACATCTTCTCAGTTTAGTTAGTACGTACTGTAAAGTAATCTCCAATGGAGCCCTAAGATTAAGATCCCAAGAACACTCCAACCCAGCTTTTCGTCTTTCAGTCATGCCAGGGTAAAGTGAGCCAGACCCAGCCCAGGTCCATTTCCAGATCGGTTCCAGTCGATTTAATCCAGAAAGAGGCGGTGTCACATGGGACCTAAACGACAGCATCTGCAGACAGAAGCCAACACGGAAGGCTGCATACACTTCTTAATATTCTCACTCACGTCTCCTTTGGTCACAAAGTGCGAAACTCTCTTCTTCTGTCCCGGGAAGAGGGTTGTTAAAGTGCCGTCTGTGCCTCCATCCTCTGCTGGCTCTTTAGGGACCTGAGACAAAAAGAGAAGCATTTTTCTTCAAAGTCAGCTAGATTTCCAAAACAAATAACTCAGCTCATCAGGAAAGGAACTCTGTGAGGTTTGTTTTCGCCACCTCAGTGCTCCATTGGTGTTCAGAAATAAAAGCTACTCAGTTCACTTCAAAGAGAACCGAGTTCTTTTTGCTGGTCCAGTTTTGTATTTTGGTGGACTGAGTTTTTTGTCTTTCATGCTGCTGTATTGAACTGATCCTCATGAATCACTGACAGACATGCAGCACCCCAGAAAACCTTGCAGTATGTGACAACCTTTTTTTTCTGGTTTCTGTTTTTGCTCTTTTTATTCAGGTATTAAGCAACAACTTGTGAATATCGTTACAGAAGAATGCCTGAAGCTATACCTTAGTGCGATTTTTATTTTCTACATTTTGGTTAGTTATATTGTTGATAGAGAAACACAGAGCTGCCATTCAAAACAATTATCATGATACATGACAATGCTTGTGTAATTCACAAACTTCTGAACATCCCACACTGTCCCTGCCATCTGTGTACTCCATGTGGGAGGAACATCACCAACATACCCTCACTTTCGTATGGGGTTTATTTGGAAAATATAACCAAAACTACTGCATGCACACAGTGAAAATAAAACAAAACAAATTTGTTTTTTTTCCTGTATAAAACAAGATAATCTCTGAAGATAATCTCAGGGTGGTTTGATTTTATAACATCAAAAACTGGATAATTCATGTCAGCAACCATATTCCACATGAATTTGGGATTGCCAAATGCTTACACTTAACAAAACAAGAACTTTTATTCTTCAAAAGTGCTCAGTATCTAAAACTGATCCGATTGCTAATCAATGTCCCCTTGGCTTCCTGAACACATTTTGGCTGAACACCAGTGTCATGAGAACACTGTACCTGCTTGCCCTGTCTCCCCTTGTCCTCCATTTTGACGTCCGTGGACTCGTTGAATATCCTCAGGCACTCTTCCATGGGGTCCGACTCGCAGTCCAAGTCCATCTGCTGACCAGAAAGGTCCAAGTCTTCCAAGAGGACGTCGTCTTCCTGCGCCTCGTCCTCGGATGACGAAGAGGAGGAGAACTCGGACGCCCTTCTCTTGGAGCTGCGCCGCCCCTCCGCCGCGGCCCCCCGTGCCCTGCTGCCGCCGGGGTTGCCTTCCTCCCCGCTCTCGTCCCCGAACAGGTCCACGTGGCTCAGCGTCCGCTGCTTCGCCTTGGCGGTCGGCGGCTTCACTTTCTCTCTGCTGCCCGCTTTCCTCTCCCTGTCCCTGCTCTCCAGCTTCCCATTTCTCAGCTCCTTTGATTTCAGCTTGCCGGGGTCCTTGGAGTCCTTCCTGCTCGCGTCCGCTCTGTCCACAGACTTGCCCTTCTTCAGGCCGCCATCGCCCCGTGCTTGATCCGCCTTCCCCGCCTCCGCCCTGCGCTTCTCCGCCTTCCCACCGCTTCCCTCGCTTTTGCTCTTCTTGATGTCCTTGGTGCTCTTCTCCTTCGCTTTATCGCGCTCGTCTGCTTTCTTCCCATCGCTTCTCTCCTTCTTGGGCGCCTCCTTGTTAGTCGTCTTGCCCTCCTCTGCTTTCTTCCCTCCCTTGTCCTTCAGGCAGTTCTTTCTGGAGCCCCTCTCCCCACCCGGGGCTCTCTCAGTTTTAGCGCTTTTCTTCTCCAGAGCTCTGCGGGCAGGCTGCTCCTCTCCTCCTTTCTCCTCGGTCCAGCCCGGGTCCGTGCACTCAGAGTCCTCGCTGTCGGGCACTTCGGAAACCTCCTTCTTCGCCCCCACCCGGCTGAAGCCCGTCCCCTCTTCCTCTGCTTTTCTGTGGGGGAAGCTGCCACCCTGCAGCCTGCTGATGGGACTGGGATGATACTCGTCCCCGTTTTCGTCATCCGAATCCGAAAAGGTTGGGCTTGCGCTATACGTCTGGGAATCTGTTTTCTGCCTAGGTTTCTTCATGGCTGGCATGTAACCCTCCTCTGCTTTTCCTGCCTTTTGGTGCCTCTTGCGTCCCTTCTTGTCCAAGGAGCTCTTTTTATTCAAGGGTCGGGCTGAGTAATTGGACATGGGATCATACTCTAAATCCGTTGAAGGTTTACAGCCATCTAGAGTGTATTTCTGCCGAGCTGGGGGAGGATGAGCAGGTTTTTTGATGGCGGCCTTGGAAACAGCAGTGGGCACGTATTCCAGAGAGTTTCCCAAACTCTTGCTGTCCGAGTCCAGAGTGTACTTCCTGGAGCGTGGGGTGGGGTTGTAGTCTCCCGCGGAGATGATCTGATAGCTACTGGGGTCATACTCAAGGGAGCTATAGGGGTCCTTTGAAGCAGCCTTGTGCCCTTTGACCCTGGCCATGGGGTCATACTCTTGGTCCTCAAAGCGCGAGAGCTTCTTCTGCTCACGCTCCACTTCACTCTTGACAGCTTCGATGGCCTTGTTGACCAGCTCCAGCTCCAGGAAACCAGGATCCAGCGGTCCAGAGTGCTCTGTTGGATCTCCATTCTGCCCTGCTGGCCTCACTACCTCAGGATTGTATGGATCATAGCCTTGTTCTGCAAAGTGTGAACAGACAAGTTACTAAAGATTTTTCAAGACAGACAAGGTGCTTCTAAAGTAAGCTGGACTACATATTGCACTGGACTATAAAGGCCATGTACAGTGGAGCTCATGAAGTTTGATCTGTATACAAAGCAGACCATAGGGAACACTGCCATGGTAAAAAAAGACTGTACTTTAAACAGATCCACACAGCTACCATGTCCTTATGTGCACGTGAGCCATGATGGACTTGGCCAGGTTTCACACTGTGCTGAAGTAGTACCATCTGTCAACACATGCAACTGTTCATAGGAACAGCTCCCAGTTTGTAAGGGCACCTCATTTCACACCTCCACAGAGTAGTTTTATGAAAGACTTACATTATGGCCAACTCACGTTACAAGATCTAAGTGATTTAAGTATTTTTAAAAAATTACAATTAGATTCACCGTGTTTATTTTCCATTTTGTGATCAGCAATTTCTATTGAATCCAAACTACGCTCCCGACACACACACACAGATTTCCTAGGGACTGGAAAACAGCCAACACTTGATTTTCTTATAAGAAATTAGTAGACTAAAATAGTAAAAAGTAGTTTCTATGACTGAAGAATAGAACAGTCCCACAAGTGTAGCACCATCTGAGGAAGCTTGAGGCAGTCCTACTGCAAAACAATCAGGACTTTGTCTGTCTGATTTAGCAAAGCTTCTCTTCTAAAAGGACATTGTATAAAAGTACATTAAATACATTTGTGCAGGTGATTTAGAACAATGAAATTCACAAAGAGTTTGTAGAAACTCACTGTTCTATAAAAAAGTACATTGTATGAAACAACTGCTACTGCAGCAAATGAAATTGATAACAACTCACAAAATATATTTTATGATCAATACAGATTTAAACAATTTTTTTTTTAAATCATGCACACTTTTTTAAATGTACTTCTGCCCTAACATTCAAAAAGGCAAAAGGCTATGACATAGTCGATCAATTCTGGAGTTTCTAGGAATCTTGTAAATGTATTTTATCCTAATATTTTTTATTAGGATCAACTGAAAAACAATATTGTACCTTAAAGGTATTACAACATGTAGCATGTTTATCAATTAGCTCACTGTTGACACATACGAGTATTAATACAATTATACACCAATAAATAATTTTGCTCCTAAGGTTTAGAACTGTTCTATCTAATATACATTATCCTAAATAATAATGATGAAAATGAAAACAAAATAATTGCAAAGGAACAAGAATTCATCTTTTGATATTCAAGACCTATCCAGTTGTGCCACCATGGGATTAACACTATTAGCATTAATAAAAAAAAACTTTCTGGCTGTCAGATATTAATTAAACTTGCCAGGTTGGAGGGTTCTTGAGAGACATTAGTGTCTGCAAAGAGTTCTGTCCCAACATTCTGTCTAAGCTACAGTATGAGAAGGCATTTGCCCAGGACACTGTTTTCAGATCTGTCGTCTCACGATTAAGGTGCCTGTCAATCAGATACTGCTTGGACAGGACAAAGAATACTTTTGAAGGTGAGCTCCAGTCGCACGTATGCACAATTTACAACTCCTTCCCAGCACGGAAATGTGGAACGCGGCAAATCTTCCATTCCCCTGTGCATCCTCGAGGACTGGGATCTTCGCTGCCATTCACTGAATATAAAAGCGTTATTCTGACTCAAGGAAGATGAACACCAAACAGCCGCTATTGGCAACGCTTCGTAGGAACATTGTTGAGGCGCCCTTGTGTGTATCACTCGCCAGCTTTTCACCCACAGCCTAGAGGAACATCTGCTGTGTGACTACTATTCGCTTACTGGTGTAAACTACTGAGGAAACGGAAAACCGGGATGTTACAGATACCAACATTAGTAACAATGCTAAACGGGACGAGAGCCATTGGAAGACAATGACCCTCTTACTCGATGACGCCGAGGGAAGTTAAAAACGAGCACAACGTCATCAGTTCTATTTGAAAATTTTACGCAGGCATAGTAATGCTCATTGCTTTCTTGAAAACCGAATCGTTCAGATTAATCAGTATCGCTTGACACCAAGCTCACAATGCATTTGCATATTACGGAACTCCATTTGCTCCCCCAAAAAGCAGTTTTCTACACGAAGTACTAAAACTTGCCGTTTTCTTTGAAGCTCAGCTCCTTGGGCTCCGGCTTGTTGGCGTTGTAAGACGCCCTCCTCGGCTTGCTGTGTCTGAAGTGACAGTACGGTCTATTGCACCGCCGTCCGCTGCTTTTCTCGTTACTGTCGTTCGCGGTGTTTGCGATAAAAGGGCAGTCAATCCCTCGGAAGAAGCCGGTGGATCTCAGCATCCTCTTTCCCTACCACTTTCATACCCGCCCTTCAGGAACCGAACCTTGTTTTGTCAGCCTCCTGTTCCTAACACTTTTTCTTCTGCACAAGCGACAACAATAACAAGCTTGCAGACGTCGCCATTTTTAACTGGGAGCGAGAGAAGACCCTACGATCAGAGGCTTTCGGCGCAGTTTATGACGTCATCAGGCGTGCCGCTGCGATGCCTGTAACGCTGGAGCTCACAAATCAGGACTTTTATTGCCTGTACCGCCTGCTCGAGAAATCTCTGTACGAAAATCAGTAGAGGCATACAATAAACCGAATGCAATTAATTCATAGAAAGATGGCTATTTATTGAAAAATAAAGTAAATTAAGCTCATATCTGTCAAAAAGAAAATCGGCAATGCCCCTATCTTTTCAAAAATAACCCTCCCTTTGGTGTTACAGAGTTCAAGCCTTTGTGTCCAGAGTGACTTGTGCGAATCGAGATTCTTAGGTCAGCTTGAGTCCTGTTCATGGGGCTCATGGCTCTCTCTCTACGTGTGCACCCTCAGAAGATCTGTCAGCTGAGAGTATGTACTCTGCAACCAGGTCAAAAGCAGTACTCTACGGAAACCCCAAATGCCACAACACTAAATAACAATGCAGAAAGCAGAAAAATCCATCCCAAGAGCAGCATTGAGACTCTTCTTGCTCTGTGTCCAGTTATGCTGAGTATTAAGCCCACTACAGCCGACACAAAAGCTATGCATATGTGGGTCCACACAATGATCTTGACATGATCAGGAGCTGCTGTCCCATTGCTTCTGTTTTCAAGTGTACTGACGTTTCTGAATTGCATGGCTTGGAATCAAATTATAGTCTTAGGAGAGATGACACTGAGATACAAGTCAGACCTGATCTTGGCCACCTTTCACAAGAGCTGTGTCTAGAGGTGCATCCGTTCAGAAGAATCATTGGTCAATTTACCACCGCAGTCTCAGAGAGGCTCCCCAGAACGATTCCTTTGGCTCTCCATTGATTTCCAGGTGGTCTTAAGGTCTGCCAGAACTGCAAAGGGAATATACCGTCTCGTTCCTCATCCAGCCCATGAATCGAAACCAGTTTTGCACTTCCTAAAACACATCAAATGAGCCATCCTTAACATGTCTTCAGGAGTGACTCTTTGTGACTCCAAACGAACGTGAAGCCAGCTAGTTCCACCATGCGCTCTTCTTTTCCACGTTTGGACTGCACACAGACTCTTTCCCACAGATTCGACAGCAAACTGTTTGTGCTGAGTGATGCCCGTCTGTCTTGCTCCACATCTCTTCTCTTTATCCACAATGGCAAAACCACAAATGCAGGCAGGAAAACAAACCAACAGGGAATGAGATTTAAATATTGTATTCAAATCAGCCAGCTTCAGTCAGATAAAAGGGCGTCCCAGACTGCACTGTGCTAATGTTAAGACAAAGGAATATTCATCAGCATTTAACCATAAAGTTTAAATTTGTATTTAGAATTTTACTACCAAACAAAAAGCACAGGGAAGTGCAAAAGCATTGAACTGGCCTTTCTGGAAGATAATTAAAATGTCCCATGTGGAAGATCCCAATATCCATGGCAAATCCCATATTTCCCCACATTATCTACTTAAAGAAGCTTAAATCAAAGTCCAGGATCGGTAACAGACTGAAACGAAACAAAACGTTTTACACATAGAAATGCAAATGCTACCAATTTACTTAGCCCAATCAGCTACCTCTTATTTCCTCTACCAGCCAAGACCGTGCACAACAAGCACCCTTTACGTACAAAGACACACTCATGTGCACAGATCCAACATTCCACTTCAAAGAATTAATCGATTGCTCTGCACTGGTAAAACTATTACGAGCTCATTGGCGCCCTCTGCCGGCAGCTCTCCTATCATTACACCCTTCCCACAGACCCATCGCCTACACCCTAAACATCCTCACAGTTGCTCAGCGCTTTTTCTGGACGCTCCACTCAAAGCGTTTTACAGACAATGACGACCCTCCTAAACCACCACCAATGTGTAGCACCCCCTCCCGGATGATGTGACAATGTTTAAACGTTTACTTACGACGTTATAACGTGGGTGGTAGACACGTCCTTCCGTGAGGCTCAAGAGCCTTAGAGTGCTAATTAATAAATACCGTTTCAGTTTGCGTTGACAAAACACAGAAGAATTATCTACCATGCTTTCTAAAATATCGGATTTATTAAACTGGTATTTGACATCTACAGTCATGCAACAGGGAACCTGTGATTGGGGATGTGGGTCTTTTCCAGAGTTGATGACTGTAAACATTTTCAAGGATATTTCTGTTTTCATGGAAAACATTAAAAATAATATTTATTGTATGAAAATAAAGCCTTGTCCGGTTCTGAAACTAGGACACGGCACCATTGCAGTACACCGGATTTCAGTTGTAACAAGTTATGCATGTGCAATAGACGTGTTGTGTAATGTTTTGGGATGTTTCCAGATGTACACAAGCGCTGTGTGTCCCTTCAATTTCTCCCCTAGGGGACATAAAAGTGTATCTTATCTTAAAACTCAACGTTTTGCAAGGACTGTTTTTTTTTAATCTCCGACAAAAAAGTTCAATTCACAGAATGTGTTGATATTGTTGATTTGTACGAATAACGTACCAGATCGTAATCGTACAGGCAGCCCAGAGGAGTGATAAATACACTATGACAAATAAAAGCGGAAGGATTCAGAAGAAGACTGGTTTTCACGGCTGGGAAAAGCACCACCTTCCAAAAAACAAAGCGCGCAGCTTCGAAATGCGCCTTAAAAATGTCTTTTAAAAGGGTATATTGGATTCTACCATGAATAGTGTGCACCTGTGGTGCCACAGCGAAGAGACTGAGCACACACACTGCAGACCGGAGATCCGCTCTGATCCAGGTTTTGGGAAAGTCGCCGGTATTTCGTTAGATTAGGGTGGAAGCTGACAGCAAACAACTTCAGCACTACCTCTGAAGACAAACAACCCCAAAAGACCGCACATCCTGGGGCGGAGAAGCCCTCGGGGCCAAAACCTGTGCTTAAACATAACTTGTATTTAACGTATTTAGGCGTAAAATAAAAACCCGGCACAGGGCAGTCAGTAAATCCCCTTTATTACGGCGAAACTACGTCACACCAGGGCATTGTTTTGTCATCCCGTGACGTGATGCGACAATTTCAAAACCTTTGAAACCGGATTCATCTGGCAGTCTAACCGGGGTGTAGTTTTTGGCTGTATTTGGTGCTCTGGTTTACGAAGACCCGACAGGAGTCATACAGGAGGGCAAAGGGGGACCTTTGACCGCATTTTGTCCACGGACAGATGCGCGCTCGAAAATGGTGACGAGTGACCTGGTCGCAGCCGTCAAAGGCGGGAGGTGGTTGTGGGGAGCGTAGCCGGGCCGGGGCCAACATGCTTGCCACTGTATTCGGGCCTTTTGGGTTCCAGGTCCCCGAAAGTATTCAGCCCGCTGAGCCGGTCCCGTGCACCGACCTGTTTCTGCACGGTAAAGCCGTCGCGAGCTGCGCGTCCGCGCTCCTGGTCGCCTCGTGCCTCCTGCTGCTGCTGCGCAGGCGCTGCAGGTGGTCCTGGCCGTCTCGAGCGCCGCTGCCGGACCAGGTGAGACTGAGACACCTTGTGTCTGAAATACATATATATTAATTCCACAGGAATCTGCAAGGAAAAAATGTGTTGCAATGTTACCTCGTAGGTTGCCCAATACATAGTTTCCATCTCTTATTGATACAAAAAATACCCCTAGCACAAAAATGTCTTATCATTGTTAAGATGCGCGGAATCATCCCTGCTAAACAGCGATTTCTGATGAGAAAACACGTCTCAGAAAATGTCGAAAAAAAACTTATATTTTATTGGCTTTCAACGATAGGTATTTGAATATTTTGAATGTAAAAAAAAATGTATGTATTGATCTTATGATGTTTGTTGTTTATTTTCATCTGTTTACAAACAGAATGAAGACTCAGAGGATTCTGATACGTGAGTTTTCTTAATCTTCATTTTGTTTTAAGATCTCGTTTTATTAATTATAATTAGTATTACTACTAATGGAAGTAACAGAATTTGTAATGGTTAGTATTCAGACATATTAAACTTTATGTTGCTGTATTATTCATTCTGTCAAATTGTATAAGAGAAAACCTAAGAATTGATCGTTTTTTAAAAATCGATTTTTTAAGAATCGATAGGCGTATGTCTTGTTTATGCTTGTATATATTTTGAGGACGGTGTTGTGATTAATATTGCTGCCTCTCAGCTCTCAGGTCCAGGAGCTCTGTTCTGGACTAGAGTGCATTCTGTGTGTATGTGTGTGCATGTGAGTGCGTGTGTGTTTGTGTGTTTCCGCATGTGAGTGCGTGTGTGTGTTTGTGTGCTCTGTGTTAGTCATGTGTCCTGTCCAGGAGCAGTCCCACCTTGTGCCTCCGCAGGCTGCAAGTTGCTGTGACACTTAAACTTAAAATGTTCATAAGTCCTTTTAGATCTTTTAAACTCAAAAGTAAGATAGCTTCTCATTTTCAGAACTTGTTCATGGCCCTGATGAACTGTAACTGCAAAAATATTTACCTATAATTTGAAACCCACTGTTTTCAAATCTATTTACACCCAGTAAATGTGTTTAAAATAAAAGCTGTACATATAATCTTCTCATACTTTGTAGTCATCGAATAGTTTCTCCAAGCCTCATAAAGGACCGTGTGTTTTTGGGCAGTGGAAGTGGGTGGCTCTGTGGCTCAGGATCTGCACCTGTGGCTGGAAGGTTGCCGGTTCATATCCCGCGGCCGGCAGAGGAATCCTACTCTGTTGGGCCCCTGAGCAAGACCCTTAACCCCAACTGCTCCAGGGGTGCTGAATAAATGGCTGACCCTGCGCTCTGACCCCAAGCTTCTCTATCTGTGTGTCTCATGGAGAGCGAGCTGGGGTCTGCAAAAAGACAAAATCCTCATACAAGAAATTGTATAGGGCTAATAAAGTGATCTTATCTCTTTACAGAGATCAGCTGAAAGACTTTACAGAGGACATCATTCACATTTACAACGACTGGTTCAGTAACCTGGAAGAGTCACTGCATGGGGAAGGCTGGGAGGGCAGCTGGAAAATGCCTGGCGGGCACAGCGACGCCCACATCTCCTCGTCCACCACTGGAGAGTCCCGCAGTGAGGCGGAGCCCGCAGCGTCGAGGCCTGCGTGGCGTCGCAAACGCACGGGGGGGAGGAGGGAACTGCTCAGGGCACCCACTGGGTATCACACCTCCTATTGGTGCCTGTCCAGCTGCCAGCTGCCAGCTCCATACCAGCCTTACCCTTGGTGCTGCATCACAACCAAGCATCATACATCCAGCAGGAGTCCTCCTCCAACTCAGAGCATCACGGGTTACTGCAGCTGTTGCGCGGCAGGGAGAAGTAGCAGATGCCAATGACACAGCCGAATCAGCGCTCAGGATACAAGTCACAAACTAAGCAGGCGCCAAGCTCGGTCTGAAAGCCACTCTTCAGCTGCTGAGCACTCAAAATCAGACTCAAAATCAGATCCTACTGCTACATCCGGGTCCTTAACATTTCTCCAGCATGCGGAGCAGGAGATCGAGAAGCTTCCAAAGGATACACCGACGTGCTCCCCAGCTGAAATCCCAGAGACAAGGAATGCTGGCTATGACACTTGGGAGACATGTGATCTCTTAAGCCAAGTGATCAGTGTGAACACAAGACAAGAGCCCACCGAACCACTGCTGAGCGAGCCCGGTCTTCACACAGAGTCGTCAGCTCAGGAGGCTCCTCCAGCCACAGCACTTGGGGCTCCAGGGGAGTCTGAGGAAACAGAGACTGCATCCCCCCCCACAGAGACCAGAGATCCACTGGGCTTGCACGCTGGACAGAAGATGCTCCAGAATCAGGGATGTGTGCAGGAAGCAATCGAGGACTCCCTGGATCCTCATGTCCCTCCGGCACCACAGCTCAGCCTGAGGAAGGTAGAAACACCAGCGGTCAGGAGCAAAAGCGTTTCTTTCACCACCCTCCCTGCTGAAGGCACACATGACCGGATGTGCCTGTGCAATCTGGAGGATGAAAGTGGACCTTCTCAACCCAAAGAAAAGTCTCCTCTAGAAAAGCTGACACTGGGCAAGAGAGAAATTTTGGAAATGCATGTGACCATGAAGTGGTACCAAGTGGCCAATGACAAGCTTCCAGACGCTGTGCGGGACTCTTATGCTGTTGCCTTCCCTGTTATGAAAAGTCACACGCCAAAAGCAATTCCTCGTGGCACAACATCCAAGCTGCCCAGACCAAAGACTGTCCCCTTTATGAATCAAAGTGATCTTGGTTGCATTGAAGCAAATGTAAGACACAGGCATATCAAACATCTTTGGAGGCAGGCTTTCCTTCACATCAAGGCCTTGAAAGTAAAATCGTCCAAAGCCCAGATTCTTAATTTGTTGCCTGAATCTCCCGATATTTCCAAAGAGCTCCAGGTTGACGTTTTACCTACAGAGCAGCCAGAACAGCAGCTACTTCATGAGGCCTATATAGCAAATTCCTTTGTTCACTCAGCTGCAGAGCAAGACCTTCTGAAAGCGAAAGAGAGCTTGCCAAAGTCCTCTGCCACTTATCTGAGAGAAGACAGCAACCAAAGCGCTGAGCACAAACCACTCTCAGAGGACATCCACAGCAGCCCTACATCACCGTATGCAGTCTGGGACACAAGTGACCAGGGTTTTAGAGAACCCTCCCTTGATTTCTTAGTTGTGTCTCAGTTGCTCCAGGAGTCACTAGATTCTTCAATGTCTCCATCACCACAGCTTAGCCAGAGTCAGGTGTCTGAGATGGTCCAGGAGTCACTAGATTCTTCAATGCCTCCATCACCACAGCTCAGCCAGAGTCAGGTGTCTGAGATGCTCCAGGGGTCACTAGATTCTTCAATGCCTCCATCACTACAGGTCAGCCAGAGTCAGGTGTCTGAGATGCTCCAGGGGTCACTAGATTCTTCAATG